TCCCGCCTGATCAATGAAACGCATAGAAACTAACTTTGTAGGATTTTTTGCCACCTGAAGAACACTAAGAACAGCATGGGGTAATGGGCTGTTACTGCTGTTGTCACCAACTTGGAAGTTTCTCTCATAAGGAAATTTACTTTCCACAATACTCCATGCCTTTGAATCCTCCTCTCCTAATCTCCAACTCGCGGCAGCGCAGATTACAGCTCCCCACCATAATCCAATCTCATCTTCGAATGCTGCAAAAATAAAGAAAAAAAAATATATTGCACAATAATATTCACTTGCAAACAAAAAAATAGGTCAATGTAACGTTATTATGGCCTATTTTTTTACTGAATATACTAAATATAATTATAAATATAATTATAAATATAATTATAATAACATAATTAAAAAACATATATTAATGTGATATTTTTTTAAATTTGAAGTGCGATTTTTCTTTAGTTTCAAATAGTCTTTTCGTACTTGCTACACTAATTTTATCGGTACATGGGAAACAGGCTTCCACTTCCGCAGAAGCCATAATCATTCGTCCTAATTCAAGTACAGAGGATGCATGACATTCTCCAACCGTGCCAGTCAATAAACGTAGACACTGTTCGATCAGATGATGCCTGTACGCACGAGCCGCGTATGACAACGGATCCGCTCGACTATTCTGTGATGTGAATTCGCTGTCAAATTGTTTCTTATATTGCCACTTTTGAGATGCCAAGAACTTAGCGCCTTCGTCGGTCATAATCCATTTCAATTTCGGGGGAACGGTGCAAGAGGATAGCAATATGCGTGCTTTACCCAGATAATATTTGTATATGTATGGAAAAAAGGACTGTTTCAGACACAGTGCGACATTCATATAGATCTCTGCCAAAAGTGATTTAGGCATACTCTCGCCAGCAGTTTCCGCGTAATTGACGGCGCAAAGAGCAAGATATAATGTTGAATCTTTAGTTCCTTCAGACATACGAAGACAGAGCATATGCTGGTAAACGATGGCAATTTCCACGGCGGATGTCTCCGCCTGTTGCCGTTCTGATTTCTCCGACAACCATTTGCTAATGTGCATGACCCATCTACCCAGCCATAATTTGTAAAGAGTCTGCCGCACTATTTGCCACGTGGTTGCGAGAAAAACCTCCGTACGTGATAACGGAAAGGATCGGCCGAAATATTGCAAGCATTGATGTAAATCTCGATATGCCTGATTGCATTCATGTTTGGATATGTTGAATTCGGCCTGACGTCTCCAACGACGTATTTCGAGAAAAACTTTACTGTCGGTAGGCAAAATAGGATCACCGTAAAGTAACAGTTTGTAGAGACAAATTGCCAAGAGTATTAGGTTGGTAAACCAGAGGACAACATTGCTCCACGGTTGCTTATCCGATTCTAGCTGATCTGCAAATAAAAAGAAAAAGTGTATTAACTATTAAAAAATATAAAGATTATGCGTTTCGCGGGTTTCTTCCATGTCCAGATGCATTCTTAGAATGCCAACATTTCGTGAACTTTGCAGTTCACTTCATCAACCTGATCAGGCTCCTGATGAAGTGAACTGCAAGGTTCACGAAACGTTAGTCTTCCAAAAATGGATCTGGACGCGGAAAAAAACCCGCGAAACGCATAACCTTTATATAGAAAGGACCTGTCTCAAGAATATTATAAAAAAATATATCAAAATCGTTTTTGCAAATTGAAAAAAAATATATAATTCATGTGCGTTTATTACCTGGATAATTGAGTATCGTTCGTCCATCCAGTTTCGTATTCACATAATCATAATTGAATCTTCCAATATTGTTCATAAGGATACCAAGAGGATTGAATGCTAAAAATAATAGCATGAATCCGCACAATGTCAGTCGAGTGTGATCTTTCATGCCTCCAATGGACGAAGTTGGTACAGGGTGTAAATTGTGCAACGCATCTGGATCGTCCTTTACCGACGACGGGGATGGTGGTGACGGCGGCGCAGGTGCAGGTGACAAAGATGGTTCGCTCGAATCGGAGCGTGGAGGTGTCAACTCTCCACAGCTCTGGATTTGTTGGTACAAATCACGAAGATTGTGCCGTTGTGCAGACATTTTCAACGCCATATTTTCGGCCTTTAATTTTGCACTGTAATTCTGCAGATGCCTGTATTACACAAAACAAGAAATTCAAAAGCTATGCTTCTTGTTAATATATCGCAAGGTAAAATTCTTATCATTCTTGCCTAATGTAGTCGATGGTTTTTCGTAAAATTGCCGACTTGTTCAGCTTGGCGTCAATTCCGACTACAATATTTTTCAATTCAATTATCTTATCATTGATCGATGTCCTGTAACGACGCTCAATAGCATTGTGGGCACTGCGTTTCACTTCTCTCACTCTCGGTACACTCA